TGCAGCACAATGGGATCCTTAAAACTGCACCAAGACAATATCCAATCAGCTGACTCTACTGGGACAGCACACAAACAATGTTTCTCAGCATTAAAAGGTCGACTAGATCACTCGTTGATCAGTGTTCATCAACTCATCAACTCATCTGTTACTGGAGATGAACACCAGACTCCGACAGCAGCTCTCTCAGGCCTCAGCTGGCGCTGCTGCTCCGTCCCAAGATGTGCAGACTGCACCCGCAAGCAGGTTCCGAGAGGCCATGGATGCTTTCACAGCCCATGCAGAACTGCCGCAGCTGTCAGCTTTCTGAAGAAGATCTCGATACTATTGTTGCCCCACGTCCTCGTAGCCTCCTCCAGTGTATAACAGTCTCATGACCGGTCCGCCATCGGTGATGTATTTGTCTCAGCTTCACTCGGTGGTCAGACGCTCTGTATCTGTACCGAACACGCAAACAAAAAACAATCAGTGGCTCGCCTCAACCAACAACGAGCCAGTAGCGCCCCCACCACAACGAATATATCATATGTTTTCGCATAATAACAGATAAAACTAATTTCCACTTCACAATAATATCTGGCAAGTGCGCCATATACGCCACAAAAATAATTATGGTATTTCAGCACGGCCTTTGACATGTTTAACATTCATCTGGCTCATCTAAGGCACGCCGACGGTATAATTATACATGCAAAATGATAAACATAATGCTTACCGAGATCTGTTTCCTTTCCAACTACGAGAATGCGAAACAACAATGCTCTCTCACGTGTCCCTCTCATCCTTCTTGACACATCAGCGACTTAGAGATGACCGAATGAAAACATGTCCGAAAATTCACTCTACACCGTTCACCACTATCCATTCCACAACGTTACTAGCAGCGCCATCTAGAAAGTAAACTAGCAACCAGAACCAACCAACAGCTCGTGGCTACAATGTAGAGGTCGCCACCAGCTGGACATGTTGGACATGGGATGAGAGATAGAACAGAAGGGAAATTGATTGGAAGGAGCCGTCTGCACTTACAGGCTATCTCAACTCAAAACTAATGTTAACACGTGCACCGACGGGGGGACGGATATCCGCCCCCCTCCCCGCGAAATTTGGTACGACTATTCTCTCATCAATTTTACACATGGTGTGCAAGTTTGAACCTCCTAACTTTTAAGGTCAGGTCACCAGGTCACTTTGAATGACCCAACCTCAAGTCACTTTTTGCAACTTTGTCACCGTACCAGAGCTACAGTAGATGTCGGAGGCCTTTGAAAGTTGCAGGATGTTATAAGGTCATTAGTAGCTACACTTTGTTTATCTCGGAATTTTGCTATCGATGACCTAAGGTCAGGTCAATTTCTCGACCTCCCCATTATAAGTCAATGGGGGAAAAATCAACTCCCTGTTTTTACCACTAAAACGGGTCGGAATGGCCCCATAAGCCATACATGACGTCATATACGATCAACCTTCACTACCTTGAGGTCTGTATTGCTGTTGGGCAGCTGTAAGGTCATGTGACGTCATCAAAGGTCACCAGCGGTTTTTTGCCAATAACTCCGTACAGGAACAAGATACAGCCGCGCGGATGGTCTCATTGTGTTCAGCTCGTCAAGGCGCATCGAATGATATACAAGATGACCTCGAGGTCACGTGACCTGAGGTCAACCTTTGACCTTGACCTTTCGAGTTCAACATATATATCATTCGATGCGGATTGAAGAGAGGATCACGATGATGCCCTTAGTTTGTTCCTACCTTGACTAGTTCGAAAGTTATTCGAGAAAAACTATCCATATTTAGTGCCGCCATTTTGACTTTTTGACCCCTGTGACGTCATCTTTGACCTGACCTGAAAATGACCTTAGTAAAAATTGTAGACCTTGTCCGTGCGTATCTCATGCCATTTACCGCTTGTCGCTATCTTGCTTCGTTCTCGAGATCTCGGGGGGGGGGCGGTCATCCGCCCCCCCCCCCGTCGGTACGAAGTTGGCGCAGACCCCCGTCGTTGCGCGGGTTAAGGTGGGATGGTCACTTTTAGCCATAAGCGCCCCGCTGGGGGGAGGGAGAGGGGAGAGCAGATTCTGCCCCCCCCCCGTCTTACTTCCAAACTGATAGTCGTAGAAAGATGGAAAAGGCAGCAATCGAAAGCTCTCAACAATACGAATCCTTAGGGCCAAAATATTTTTGCCTTAGTAGGTCAGAGGTCAGTTCAAGGTGATGTCAAGGGCTCAAAATGCAAGTTAGTACATTATCGTCTTTGGAGTCAAGCTGGCGAAGAATGGACTACGATTGTTCATCCAAAACATGTACTTAGGCTACCAAGACGAGATTCGTTGCATAAAATGTCATGTCAAGGTCAATGTCAGGTCAGGTCACCAAGAGCGAAATACCTATAGAATAGGACATCTTCGGCACATGTTATATGGGTCATTCTACTCATAGAACTCAATGGGCACACTCAATTAGTGATACGTAACACATTTGGATGAGTTTAAGGTCGAGGTCAGGTCAAATTCAGGTCAACTAAAAAAACTAAGGTCAAATTTTGAAGTTGATTGCTTAGACCTAATAATGTGTCTATCTGATGCAGTTTTCACGACAAATTGAATGGTCCTATTTTTGTTCTTATACGAGGTCTAACACAAAATTTCATTTTTTGGAAATTTTGTGTGTCGTGACGTCATAAAAGCTTGAATAACTCCTACATTTTTGAACTTATTCTTCTAAGACCTGGAATGTAGGTGCACAGATACAATTTCTTAAACATAGATTCGGTTTTTTCGATTTACTTAAAATTTTGGATTTGTTAATGATTTCCCCAAAAAATATCAATTTTTGGAAAAAGTTTGGATCAAAATCTTAAATTTAAAAAACGAGATAGCCATTTTAAAGACAAAGTAGAACCACGTACATATTTTTTTGTTACGTCTTAAGTCCATTAGAACTGATGATGTTAGAGTAGTTTGAAATTTTGCTCTTTTGAAGGGAAAATGGCGTGACATGACGTCACTAAAACGTCCTTTTCGCAAAAAGCTTCGAACAAGTTTCGCTCAAATATTCAGGGAGCATGACAAAGTGATGTATGATAAGGTAATGGAAGTTTGACGTCGCTGATTAAATGCGTTTGGACGCTATTGACGAAAAACGGGAGGGGTGGATTCTGACACCCCCAGCGGGGCGCAGGTTAAACCACCGACTCTCTGTGGATGGCGGGCCGTGGTGTCCACTAGACGCCGGGCGTAGCTGTGATAAACGGGCTGCTGCTGACACTGACGGGATGGGATGGGCGCGCCCGGCAGAACCGGCTGTGTCGCGGAGAGCCGCTGGTGCTGACACTGACCGGCCGCGGTGTCCGCTAGCCGTCGGGTGTAGATGTGAAGGACGGGGTGCCCTGGCGCTGACGTGACGGGGATGGGAGCGCCCGTCAGTACTAGTTGTGCCGGGGTGACGGGACGCGGTGTGCGCGCTGTTACTGTCAGTGTGTGCTGCGGTGACGAGATAGGAGCGAGCGTCCGGCGGCGCGCTCTGGGTCACGACGCGAGCGGCTGGAGGCACTTGGTGCTCGTCCTGGCGCGGAGCTTCAGCTGCCGGACCTACCATCGCTCCGGAAACTGATGGCGTTTTTATAGACACATATTGCTCATCTCTGACGTCCCGCCAATTTACTGCATAGTCACCGATTTCACAGTCACTGAACAAAATGTGGAGTCGATGTCATGATAGCTATTATTGAAAATTGTTGGCCTTCGTAATTTTGAGATAATGCATATGCATGCATTCTTCTTCAATATTGTTTTGCGTTACCTCAGTAGTCAGTACTTCTTACTTCTTTTCTCTTCTACATCAGGACATTGACTCTGCATTCTGTAAACCCGCATTGGTGCTCTAGGAATTTCGGAAGTTTTACCATTATGACAACGGATATGTCGCGGGGGATTTACGCAAATGTGCGCAAAGTAATGTCCAAGAATATCAAAGGACCTTTGAAAGGCACTAGTGCGTTTTCACGTCGATATCCATAATGCAAAGTGCTACGCTGGTTGCAGTGCCTCTATTAAGCAGTAGCACTGCTTTCAGACGCACTGTCAGATAAAAAGTGGAGAACGCAGGAGTAAAATTGAAATGGGAACCGCACTTAGTTTCCACCACCAGCAGACTCCGTGGTGGCGTTCTTTGTTAGCGATAAAAGGATTTCTTCTTCTTCTTCTTTAGTGCAGTCGCTACGCTCCCTGTTTCTGACTGAATTTCAGCCGCGGTTGACCTGTAGTAATCTTAGCTGTTTTTTGTGTCTGTTGATAGCCGAAAGAAGGAATGCATTCCCACCATTGCAATATTGTGATACTAACATATCCCTGCAAGCAGGACTGTGCAGTGTGCATTGTCTTGGCCTGTTAGCGAGATGCTAATGAGATGCGAGGCTAGTTATAAGAGCAGCTCCCCAAGGGAGCGGGGCGCTTCTCGTGTTCGTTTCTGCCAGCAGACCAGTGCGTTCTCCCAAACGCGCATCGGCATCGGTTTTCTTGGAAATCGGAAAATCACAGTATTTAATCAGACTTGCCACCTTGCTCGTCACCACGAGTCAGTCAGATGTTTAACTCGAACCGGAGCGTTCTTTGAGCACCGGCCCAACGTCGAGTGGGCCAACAAGTCACCTATCCTTTGGCATTAAAAGCTGTCGTATTTTAATGAGCCTTGATGATGGCAACAGGCAAATGTTTGTGAGAAAATCGTGATGACATGGCGTTTACGTTTGGTCCGAGTATTGCGGTGCTGCAGTGGACCGAGCCCCTCTGTTTTACCCCGAATATTGCGCCAGTGTGTGACTGCGTGTGTGGCCACTACCCAGCACTGAGCGAGCCTTGCGGCGGCACGGTGTGTAGAGGGCGGGCGGCCGATGCCCGCCGCGCCGGTAGGCCGGCCGCCGCCTGTCGGTGCGGCCGGCGGCGATGGATGGCCGCTCTGACGCCCGCCCCCGCCCCCGCCCCCGCCCCCGCCCACAGAGGCTGCCGAGGAGACGCCCACGCCGATGGAGACTGACCAGGGCGAGGAGAAGAAGAAGGTGAGTGGCGCGGGCGCCCGCCCTCCGGACCGGTACCTGGAGCCGACCCATCTTACCGGTACCCAGCGCCGAGCCGCTAACCGGCACCGGGCCCACCCAGCCAACCCAATACCCAGCTCCACCCGCTACCCAGCACCGAGCCAGTGGACCTGTACCCAGCGCCAGCCCACCACTCGGCACCGACCCACTACCCAGCTCCTTCCCGCTACCTTGCGCAGACCCCACACCCAGCTTCGACCCAGCCGACCCACCACCTAGCGCCAACCCACCACGCAGCACGGACACACCTTACGGGTACCCGGCGCCGACCTAGCCGACCCACTACCCAGCACTGACCCAGCCGTGGGCCGACCCTTCACTCAGCACTAACCCACCACCCAGCTCCGACCCGCTACTCAGCTACGACTCATTACCCAGTTCTCGGGGCCCACCCAGCTTTAACCCACTACCCGAGGCCGACCCATCTGATCGGTACCCTTCCTTCTCAGCACCGACCCGCTTAACCCTCGCCGGACCTATTGGTTTTTTACATACGCGCCGGCCGAGGGGGGGGGGCGGGTACGACTCCCCTCGCCATTTCGCCCCTGGTGGAGCTAGCGCGTCGCGAAAAAAAAACGAGCGTGTGCGCCGTTACGAGACGCAGAGATTGGTACCCGATTTTATGGTCCTAGGTCAACCGGTGACCTCTGAGGTCAGGTCAAGTGCCCCAAGGTACGGTTCAGTTTTTGGTGAATAACTTCGCAAAAAACGGCCGCAGAGCCGCGATTTTGGCAGCATCGTGTTCGCCTCGCTGAGGCGCGTCGAATGATATACTTTTTGTTCGGGTCAGGTCAACTTAGAGTGTTGACCTCAGGTCAAGGTCAGGTCAGCACCCCCAGGTCACGAAGATGGTCGAAAGAGGCCATGTTGCATATTATTCGATTCGGCAGGTCTTCCTGAGTCCATTGGTGGCTTCCCGACTCGCTAGCTCAATTTGATCGGGAGTTATTGATGGAATACTAATATGACCTGGATGACGTCATAAATGACGTCACGCAAGGACACATTGCAAAAGTGGCGCATCTAACCTTGCATGGAGTGCATTAAATCACGATTCTGTGTGCTTGAGATAGTTGGAGATCGTTCCGGGCGCCAGAATACCAGTTTTCATTTTTCCCCATTGACTTATAATGGTGAGGTCACGAAAATGACCTGACCTCATATGACCTTTAGGAAAAATCCGAGATATACAAGTTGTGAGACTCATAATGGATACTAGATCCTGCAAGTACCATTTCCCTGTGACATCTCCTCTGGCAGTGAGGGCGTTGCGAAGTTGCAACATCTGAAGACCATGCAGAGGTTCACTTATGACGTCATAGGTCAGTGACCTGACCTGACCCAAAAATGCGGTTGGTGTCAAAAGATCCGGCTTGAATCAAAGGTCAAGTATGCCAAGTTTCAGGGCGGCACCCGCCCCCCCCCCCCCCTCGGCCGGCGAGGGTTAACCCTTGCCCGTATAGGGGGGGGGGGCGAACTGACCCCCTCCCCTCGGCTTTTCGCAAATAACTCGCGGAAAAAGCGTCAGGTCGCGAAGAAACTTTCAGTACCCTACACTTAATCAATTTTACACCAACCCTGAAAATTACATGACCCTAACCCAAATGACCTTTGACCCGTGACATATTTCTCGAGACCATGTTTGGCCGGACTCGCGATGTCTGCTCGCATTAGCCGCGCGTCTGCAGTCTTTTTGTGGTTTCAAACGTTCCAACATGTGATATGACGTTGGTCCTACGCATTATGAAGGGTGTCAAGGTCACCTGAAGGTCAGGTCAGGTCATTTGCCTTTGATGACCTCGTTTCTCATTATCGAGTTTTACGTGTTTCTAAGCTAGTTTTTGCTGCTTTTTCGAATTTAGCAACCATTTGAACATTTTTCGTTACGAAGTAGCTTTGGTGCTTTCGTTGTTCGTAACATGTTACGAACTACGAAGCATTTAGTGGTGGTTGACACCTACTATACATACCCGGCAGGACCCCTACTGGGTGACCTGACCCGACGTAGCCTAAATTTATGAGGACATCGTCTGCGATCAAAACTAACATGGAATTCGTATTCAGCACTCCGAAAAAGCCATTTTAGTATCAAATAGCATTTAACCCTATTCCTGGCGGGCTCCGCCGGGACAAGAAACTGGCGGGGGGGGGGGGGCCGATTCGGCCCCCCCCCCTGAGATCTCGAGAACGAAGCAAGATAGCGACAAGCGGTAAACGGCATCGGATACGCACGGCCAAGATCTACAATTTTTACCAAGGTCATTTTCAGGTCAGGTCAAAGATGACGTCACAGGGGTCGAAAAAGTCAAAATGGCGGCACTAGATATGGAGAGAGTTTTTCTCGAATAACTTTCGAATTAGTCAAGATAGGAACAAACTAAGGGCATCATCGTGATCCTCTCGTCAATCCGCATCGAATGATATATATGTTGACCTCGAAAGGTCAAGGTCAAAGGTTGACCTCAGGTCACGTGACCTCGAGGTCATCATGTATATCATTCGATGCGTCTTGACGAGCTGAACACAATGAGACCATCCACGCGTCTGTATCTTGTTCCTGTACGGAGTTATTGGCCAAAAACCTTTGGTGACCTTTGATGACGTCACATGACCTCACAGCTGCCCAACAGCAAAACAGACCTCAAGGTAGTGAAGGTTGATCGTATATGAAGTCATGTATGGTATATGGGGCCATTCCGACCCGTTTTAGTGGTAAAAACAGGGAGTTGATTTTTCCCCCATTGACTTATAATGGGGAGGTCGCGAAATTGACCTGACCTTAGGTCACCGATATCAAAATTCCGAGATATACAAATTGCACATACTGGTACCCTAACTAAACCCTGAAGAGAAGAAATTGATCGGTCAAAAACTCTAGCTCTGGCGTGATTGCAAACTTTTCTGAGGTAGCGTCACCAAACCGCCTCTGGTGACCTGACCTGAGGTCAGATCAACTCAAAATTTTCAGACATGTTGCGTAGAAGCCTTTTAGGAAAAGTCAGAAAATTTGAGCTTCCTAGCTCAACGCGTTTGGGAGATATAACCAAAAAACCTCAGGGGGGGCTCCTGAGGCCCCCCCCCCGCCAGGAATAGGGTTAATGCTCATCAGGAGCAATTTAATATGACTTTCCACTAAACAATCTATAAGCTTGCTGGAACTGTTTGTCCCACTGGCTAAACGGTAAAATCATTGCGGGCTTCCACGACTTTTTGTTATCAACACTGAACAAATCATCTCTCTCTTCTCAAGGAGCATGTTTTTCTGCAGCAAAGCGCCTATTGGTCATTGAACAAGTAAATAATGGTATTATGGAATTACTGCGGCGCGCGGCTGACCTAACCTCTGCCACAGCATTAGCGGCGGGCCATTGCCACTGGAAATCAATGTGACCGAGAGTGAGCGGTGTTGCGCCGGCCGGCCGGGCCGTCCCCGCACTATTGTAGGGTGGGGGGCGCAGCTGGTGGCCGAGCTCGCGACGGCCGCCGCGCCACAAAGACCGGCCGCCATTCCGGGCAGACGCCACTTTCCGGCCGATTAGAGTCATTTCTTTTTACGATTGAGGGATATACGTAACTGATTGACGGAGATGGTTTAGATTGTGCTCGAGGCTGGGCAAATCAGGATCTGGTATAAGTGCTGCATCTCTGGAACAGCACACCCTATTCACCACACGTAAGCTTGAAATGGACCTAGTTTGTGGAAGGGAATGTCGCAAGCGCCATTGCAATAGTGGAGGATTCCATTACGTGCACTATTTGTCTGGAAGAAGAGCACAATATTGCTGAACGCGAGGGATTCGAGTTCAGACAAACACGCTGCTCTCTGGGCCGCCTCACCAAACGGCGGCCATTCTGTGACGATAGTTTCGCAGCTTTGTTCGCGATGTTATCCAACAGTTGTGCTCACCGTGATTGCATTGAGAGTACGATCAAGGGCACACGACTCCGTAAAGCCTCCCATCATCTGATATGCTCTGCCAATGACTACGGTATCGCTGCCCGTATGTGCATGTGTCCGTCCACATGTGTCCGTATGTGCCAATGTCCGACATTGTGCTATTCTATAATTTTTGAGAGGACATTTGTTTCGAAACCTTGGTAAAATGCTGAAATCCTACTTGTATTGTTAGATATATACAATAGCGTTATGAAAATTGCGACAAGATTTTCGTCTTGCACATCTCCGCACAATTTTACTTGGAATTAGTATTACTTGATTGCTGTAAAAACACTTTTCAGCTTAGTACGCGACCATGTATGACGTCTGTGGCAGTTTCACTGTCAGATGTTTCTAGGCAACGGCCGTGTTCGTTGGAAGCCTTCAGTTTCGTCGTCCAGGATGCTCTAAGGGCTGTGCCAAACAATTCTTGAAATGTGCCTCAGGTCAATTTAACTAGCGGTGGTTGAGGTAATCGAAAGCTTGTCGAAAGCATGTACGTTATCAAAATAATGCACCCGTTTAATCCAAATAATCACTTATCTGGTGTGTTCCGAGTGTCAGAATGGTTCGCCAATGCAGGCTAGATGTTAAGCAGCTGGGGCATTCCACGATAGATCGTACCACTTTTTTCCAATTTGACACCCTCATCTCTCGGAATTTGACGAGAATTGGTCTCAGGGGTAATCAGGGGCTCTGAATCCACCTGTAACAATTTCGGGCTTATCAGATAAGTATTTTTTGAGTTATGGTGTATAACATTTTTTCGATCTTGCTTTGCAGCGCTAAGTTTGGCGGGCTGTAACTCTAAGACGGATTATTCAAATGCCAAATGTTATATAACATTGAACATGCAATGAAACAGAGATTAATATGTATTTTTGAAATTTCGAAAAATACGCTTTTTTGATATATGACATATCGAGTTTTCTTTCATTTGTATTTTTTGGACTTTGGGACCAATTTTTTTGGAATTTTTATTTCTTTAAAAAAAAACATTTGGCTCATTGTTAAGAAGCATGCA